TGCAGAGCGGCCTACTGAGATGCTCACAACTTCCCACTGAAGTCACCCAGGCAAAATCCTGGCTCCAATAGTTTTTATCATGCTACTGCCAACAGACAGAGCAATAAGGCAGGGAGGGTTCCATACAGTAAGAGCCCGGCTGATGCTCGATTAACACTGTAACACAAACCTGAGAAGATGATTAACATCTCCTTCAGAATGCCTTGGACACAGCAACCACTCTGTGAATGCAGATGATTTAAATGTTTGTTTCAGAATAAATTTTGACCAATTTATGATGGAAACTACTATTTTTTTTTCTTCTCATTGCTTAGATAGTTGCAATCAATGCTCTTGTTCCAATCACAGATGACGGAAACATCCAATATGTTTTGGTACAAGGTTTCTTATCCCGTCCATCTCAACAGAAAAAGAAGATAATCTATGAACTCTTGCTCTGATTTATCTGCTCCTCAAAGAGAACGCAGGTACAATTAAGTAGCAGTGGTTTAAATGGTTGTCCCAAGAGGGAATTTTAATAGAGAAGGGGAAAGATGAACTCACATTTTGTTTTATGTGATGAGTAAGCAATTTTACATTCTGAATTCCAAGAGAGAATATAGTGAAATAACTTGAAGGCAGATTACAAATATTTTACCAAAGAAGCATTGGGATGGTCATACATAACCAATCAACCACAGTGCTTCGTTTGAAGGAAACTGCAGTATGTCTTTTTAATTACTTCCTGCTCTGAAAGCAAGCTGGGAGCAAACTGAATCACATCAGCACACCACCCAACTCTTGTGATGCAAGAAGTCAATTCTGGACTCTGAAGATGGACTCTGGTGAACAAAGTAATTCAGTCTATCAATTCAAGCACTCGTTAAACTTCACTTGAAATTGATTCCAGTAGGGATTGGATGAATTTCTTCACCTTTAGCTCTGCTGGCAGAACCTCTGAAGTTGATTTATAGCCAGGATAAAGAGTAAAGCAAATTTCTCTCCCATAGGCCAAACAGTTGCCAAAAAACTAACTATAGCAGCCTTTGTTTTGATTGAGAGACAATGGATTCTGCATTCATCACTGATTTACATGAACTAATTTCTCACTCCTTAATGCCACTATGTGACTACACTTCTATGGATTCTCTAATAAGAGCCATCAGATGACTTAGAATGCAGTACAATTATACAGAATATCACATCAGAAGGATTTCCAAACGATATACATCCTTTACCATTTTCACCCTATACCTACTAAGTCCAAAATTAAGTTACAGAAGAATGTCAGCAGGTTGGATGAAAGAATATTAGTACGTTTCTGAAGGACTCTTACTTGAAAAATATCTGACAAGAAGCAAGCTACCATAATAAATAAAGATAAATGAGGAAGAGTTGCAGTTGCAGAACATTAGATGCCGCTTACAGAACTACACAACTAAAGGGAAATCTCCATGATGTTCATGGCCAGGTTAGAGATTAGGTCTTTTCATTGTCCTCTTTGAGTAGTAATAAATTGTATTAGAGCAATCTAGGTATTATGCATTATTAGCATAACAATAGCTGATGCCTACTATAAAAAGTCAAGATTCTGGACGTGACACGAAGAAACCATACCAAGTAGTCATAAAATACTCAGCCCCAAGCTCTGCTCTGTATAGGTCAAGAAAAAGGATATGGCTTATAAATCATGCTGAGTAAACAGCCAAAACAAAGCGCATTTACAAAGTTACAAAGTAGATCAACATCTCACATAAAACATTCTGGCTGGTTATCTTTTATTTTCTGTTAAAATAAAATAAAATAAAATAAAACAAAAGAAACTACATCAAATGAACAGGCAAAAGCCAGTGAAAGACCATAAATTGCGAGACACAAGACCATAAAATCAAACAAGTAAAGAGATACTTTTTGCCTGCATTAGTGGGACAGATATGGTCACAGCATGAGTACCATAATCACAATGCTTGTACAAAAGCCACAAACAGTGCTGATACCATTCCATTGTAATGCCTGCACCCAAAGCAACAGAATCACTTTGTTCCCGTGTCATGATGCCACAACAGTTTTAATGGCACATCACAGTGCAAACATTTAGTGAACTTTTAATTTCATAGTTAGATCTCAGCGTATCAGGAATAATTTAAACGGAGATCATAGAATCATGGCATGACTTGGGTTGGAAGGAACCTCAAAGCCCACCCTGTTCCAATCCCCTGCTATGGGCTGGGTGGCCCCAATCAGCTAAGGCTGCCCAGGGCCCACCCAGCCTGCCCTTGAGTGCCTCCAGGGATGAGGCACAAACAGCCTCTCTGGACAGCCTGTGCCTCATTGCCTTCGTTGTGAAGAATTTTTCCTACCACTTACATACAAAATCCTCAATAGTTCTTGTAAACTTATCAAGTAAACAAACATTTCTTAGATACCTAGAACAAACAAACACCTAAGCACTACTTATTTGAAAACCAGAATGAAACCCACGCTCTAATTCACCAATTTTTACAAACCCAAAAGTTCTACTGCAACAGGAAAGGAAAAAAGTCCCCAAATCAGCAATGGTGCAGATGGTTGATACAAAGTATGCTTTAAACAGGCACTGCATTCAGTTCTTCAGGGAGACAGAACACACGTGGTACGAGCAACAGCTGTTTAAAACAGTTTACAAAGCACGTGGAAAGAAACAGCTCAAAATTATGAGATCTTGCTAAACCACAGCTCGACATAGAAAAGATCAAAATAGCCACAAGCAAAGTTATTACCTCATGGCAATAATGACTTAAAATTCCAGTTATCTAAAGCTCCCCTGTAGCCTCACAGAAGTAGCGTCCCTGCTGTTTTTAAATAGTTTGTACAAGACATTTGTCAGACAATACGCCAACGCAAAGTTCTAGCAAGCTGTCTTTGCAGCTCATCACTTGTGGTGTCTCCTACAAGCCAGAGCAATAACACAAGTGCATACACCCTGGATGCTAAAGGCAAACTCAGGGCAGAGGACAGGCTGTATGTGGTATGAGAGAGCGAAGAGTTTAAAGAAGTATATTTTATCAGAAGGAATGTAAAACTATTGCAGTTACTATGGTTACATATTTGTATTTTAATGAGTAATAATAGTAAATCAGGCAAAAAAACACTGCAGGAAAAAGTAACAGAAACATTGAAATACTCAGAACAGTTACAATTTTCAATTTCCCTAAGAAAACTGCTGCGAACCTGTAATGCTTTCTATTGGTTATTTTAACTTTTCTTTGCCAGTACTGACTGAGGAGTCAGTACTACATGCAGACAAGGAAGCAATTGCAGTAACTGTCGCACTGCTACTTACAGCAATGGGATTTGAGGCCTCAAGGACAGAAACACAACAGATGTTGCAACTTGAGAAGTGCCCCCATTGTTTTCAGAAAGTATCTGTGACCTTTTTTAAAGCACCTTGAAACAGAGCATTTAATACCAGACAGGTGATGTTTAAGTTTCACAGTGCTAACAGTGCTGCATCTCGCTTGCAGCTTCTGGACATGAAAGGATGTGAAAGAAATGCAAAAACTTAAGAGATACTGGTGAAGGGCCACTGTGATGGGCACACGACCTTAGAGTCTTCATGACCCAGAATTCAGTGACTTAAGGGAGAGGAAGTTAGGGAAAACCATGGGAATATAGAGTTTACTGGTCTTCAGAGATGCCACATGCTAAAACCATTTAAAAAGTATTTTTAAAAATTTACATTCCTAAGATTGAAGAACGTTCTTGATGTTCAAATTTAAAACCTGTTATGTCGGGAAATTAGTGAGTATTTACAAGAGAATGAAGAGGCATTTTAGAAGGGATGCTGGGTTTGCTGGAAAAAGTCTCCCTAGTGTCCACAAGAAAGCACTCATTGTGTTAGAAAGTGCCCTGAGACTTTGGGGCCTGTTATTGAAGGGAACTGTCCATGCTTCCTACCAACGCTACGCAACAGCTATTTATGACACGAAATAGGAACAACTGAAATACTCAGTGCAAATCTTAGAATCACAGAATGGCTGGGGTTGGAAGACACCTCAAGGATCACTTAGTTCCATTGCCCCTGGTGCAGGGAGGGCTGCCAGTTGCTCGCTCAGGCTGCCCAAGGGCCTTGAACTCCATCGGGGATGGGGCTTGCACAGCTTCTCTGGGCAGCCTGTGCCAGCACGGTTATGTGACTGAAGGGTTCCACACACACTGAATGAAACAGACCTCTCTTAAGGAGGACGAGCTTATTCCACAAGGATACGCTGCTTGAGGGAAATGCAGGAGAACAAATAAACACACAGAAGTAAACACAAGCATGCCTGTCCTTAAGATACCCTCGTTTCAGTGTCTTTTTTTTACAGAACGATGATCGTATGCATCGCTACTCACACAGACGGTGCTTAGGAAGGAAACGCACTGCAATTTCCATGCATTCGTCCAGGTATAAATGAGCAAAGGCCTCCCTCGGCCCCAGCCCAGCCACCCCCGCCGTGTCCCCCGGTGCCACACCCGCAGGGCCGCCCGCCCACCCCCGGGCAGCCAGTTCCCACGTGTGATCGCTCTTTCCGAGTAGTCTTTCCCCGCACCCAGCCCGAAATCGGCTCCCACTTCCACACGGCACAGCGCTCTCGCGGCGGATCGGCACCTCGGATCGGAACCGGAGCTCCCGCCCCGCCTGACGGGACGCGACGGGCCGGCCCCGCGCTCCCCTCGCCCCGCTCCCCTCAGGCGCAGCCCTCCCGGCCGGGGGAGCCCACAGGGCCGGCGGCGCCGGGTCCCGCTCCACCAACCTAGCACACAGTCCAGGGAGGGGACCCCGCAGGAGAGCAGCAGCCGCCCGTGACGGAGGGCGGGCCGAGTGCCGGGCACGGCGGCCAGGCGGCTGCCGCCCGAGCGCCGGAAGCTGGTGCCTGTGCCTGTGGTGGTGGCGGCGGCCCCTCCGCCCCGCGCCGCCCCGCCGCCCGCCGCCATCATCTCGGCTCGCCGGCGCCTGACAGGAGGCGGGAACCGCCGCGAGCAGCCGGGCCTGCCCGCCCGCCAGCGGCCGGCGGCGCGCTGCCCAATGGGAGCCCGCCTTGTTGGCGCGTGGCGGGCGGCAGCGCCGGGCGGGCCCGGCTGCGGGACGTAGGTGAGTGCGGCGGGCGGGCGGTGCGGGCCGCGCTTCGTGGGCCGGCGCTGAGGGACGGAGGGCGGGCGGGAAGGGGGTGCTGATCGTTCCGCCCGGCCGTGCTCGGTCGCCTCAGGCGTCGGCGGTGCGGCCCGAGCTCTGTGTGCGTGTGAGAACGGGTGGAAGCCCGCCAGGCTGTAACGTCTCCTCCGCTGTTTCGTGCGAAGAAATTAAAGTGTTTGCTGCCTTCGTGAAGAGCTGCTCGCAAGGTGATTCTGTCGACCCGCAGCCCCTCCTGTGTTGCTGGGAAGTGGCCGTGTGACAGCAGTGGGTCTTGCAGATGTTTGTATTTGCTGCCAAATGTAATCGTACACACAGTGTCCAGCTTAGCTTATTGCGAGTGGAAGGAACAAATGTAGCTGTGAAACGTTGTCCTGTGCAAACCTGTGCTCACAACCCTTCGCCCCGTTCAGAGCAATACGTTTCCTCTTGCTGCTGCGGTGAAACACAGTATTTCTTTCCTTGTTTTCAAATAAAGTGTACTAACGCAGCTCGAATGAAGTTTCGGAGTAGGTGTGAATGTACCTGCAGTGCAGAATCCTCTCTTTTTCCATCTCTTCCTGCAGTTGTCCTGCTCCTTCACTTTTCTCATCTCATTTCCCTGCAGGGCAATTAAAAGTAGAGGCTAATTGTCAGGTTGAGAACCTGAGTTCTGCAAGCACTTTGCGACTGGCAGCACGTACCTGTGCTATGCTCCTACCACGTGCAGAATTTCTTGCATTAAATACATTTAACTTTAGCCAGAGATACTGGAAATCTCACCATTTCCTGAGCCGCCATAGGCCAGCGTTGCTAAAAGAGAAAGTCTCGTTTCCTTCTTTTCCTCTGCTTCCACTGATTGAGTCCACCACACTTTGGTGCTTGTCAGGTCCTTTCCAGAGCTGACTGATCTCACTTGTCTGCCTTGGAGCTACCTATCAGCCTACGTAAGTCAGCTTTGTGTTATGCTGCTGAGTATGTGCAATAGGAAAAGGGTATTGACACACAGCAGGGAGAGGGGCATCGAACCTTCCTTCTTTGCTACCTATGAAACGTTGATTCAGGTCACACTTGTGAACCTCAGTTATTTCAGGATTTTCTGTATTTTAACATGAAGGGTTAAATTTTGTGAGCTAATATCCTCTCAACTGTAGACAAAAAGTCTTAATGTTGCACCTTGCACTCAAAGAGACTGTTTCAGATTTTACTACAAAGTTGCAGAGAAGTACAAATAATTCTTTGATATAAGAACTGAGTTTCAGAAATTATTGCAGTAGTTCTGTTTGTGCTGTTGGCTTCTCCTCTGTCACATTTTAAAGTAATGGATACAGTCCTACTGCTTGAGAGAGCAGGTAGAAATAAGCCGTCTTTAAAGGATTTAATCTATTTTAAAAATTGAATATTTAATACAGTAAAGCTCTACAAATGAAAACATGCTTATGAAGACACCATTTACAGCATCTGAAGAGTAGAGAATGAAGTGATATATGTAGACTTCTTTTAATTTTTAAGTCAACTTCATTTGCTTCATTTTCATGAGTAATGCTAACTTGTTCTCTCTCCTTGAATTACACTGAAAGTTTGCTTATGGTCACACATCCACTTCCCAAGAGATGAATTTCCAGCCATTGAGAAGGACACCACTAGGATCAGGAAGAAAGACTGCATAAAACAACTTGTCCTTAGGTATACCCCAGTAGGTAGATGAGTTCTGTTATTCCTGCAATATGGATGAAATCGAGATGCAGAGAAACTAAAGAACATGCAGATGATTGCAGGTGGTCAGAACTACTCTGCGAGCAATTGGCTGAGTGATGGTTGCTGGCTGATTTCGTAGTCAGCTCTCTGCAACAGACCTTGAAACTTATCTTCTCTAGATTTCAGTGTCCTGAACTGCAGAATAATCAACTTCTTTTATAATACTGTAGGCCTTAACTAAATATTGATGATTGTTTAAACTGCAAGTCCTAACTCTCTTTTCCGTTTCTTGTAAACTTACTGATCCAATTTAGCTATTGCCTGTGCCAAAGGCAGATCTGAAGTTGGATTAGAAGGACTTTGGGTGAATTCCCTCAGGAAAAAAATGGGAAGAATACAATGGATGAGTGAGAGAACCATCAAAACATTTGGGAGAAGGTATGCTTGCAATTGATCTGCAAGCATGTTTGTAACTTTTCTCTAAAGAGGTAATTTGCAGATCTGAGAAAAGTCCTAGTGTACTCAGAACAGGAGCACTTCTTCAGATAAGTTTTAGAAGCTGTGCTTGGTGGGAGGAAAGCACCTGCTGCTGTATGGCAAAGCGGCTTCCCTCCCAGTTCAGGAATGCACCACGTTAGGCTTGGTTCCAGCAGTATCGCCACCAAACCAGATTAGTGCTGAGTCAGCTGACCAGGCAGGGCTGCAATCACGTGTCCCCATGTCCCACAGGGTCCTGCTGGGGGCTGAAACAAGGTAGTTTGCTTCTGGGATGTTCTTAAGTACCTAACAGCATGGGTCGTGGATTACGGCTGCAAAGAAGATGCCTTCATTTTCCCTGATCTTTGAACTGGTTAGAATGGGAAAAGTTTGAAAGTGCAGGCTCTTCAGGCCCTGAGCCAGCAACTGGAAAGAATGTTTAATCCTGGAAGTTCTGATGCTGAAAGGCTGGGCTTTTCTGAAGAGTGAAAAAAGCTTAAAAACGACTTATCCAATCGTTCTGTGGAAAGTGTGAGGATTAGTGTGAGAGTTTGAGACATACCAATTGTGTGATATTACATATGATGCAATGTGGTTTTCTTCAGAAAGCCTTTGGATGTTACCTAAATGCTGCTGCGTGTTTTTAATACTGAACAATCGTGATAAGAATCTGAAAAGGGGATGTCTTTTAAACTGGAAGTACATACATTAGGGCACATGAGTTGATGTGGTGCATTTGATGCTATGCTCAGTGCTGAGGACAGTGGCTGAGTAAATCTAGGTCGTAAAAATGCTATTACTGAGATGACCACTGTAATGTCAACTCACATCTTACCTGGAAGTAATGTAAAGAGTTGCTATAGCATGTTTTCCTAATGCTGGTATTGTATTTAAGGTTTAAGAACTGGCATATTTTGTATTTCAGAAGAGCATTGTTTTCTGCCAGGTTTCGTCTTCAAGGGCAATATTCCAAATACTCCTGCTATTTCTATGAATACTCTGCAGTACCAGCAGATATTGGAATATAGGCAAAGTTTAGTCCACACCTATATGGAGGGATTCCATAGAAGATGCACTTTTCTGGCATCTGTCTTTTGAAAACCAAGCAGGACTTCTATCTCTGCCTGTTATAGTTCAGCCCAGTTCTGTGACAAAGGGGGCAAATGTTCAAAGGGATCCTTTAGCTTGTTTGGAGTAGTAAATAATTATACCATTAAGAACTAGATGAAGAAAATAGGTGTTTTTCACTTTAGTAGACAAGAATGAAAACTGAGATTATCCAGTGTGAGTTACAAAGTTGCATAAAGGATAAGCACACAGTCCAGCAAAGCTCACTTCAAATACCAACAGCCAGACCCTCTACTGGGTGCTGAAGTTACATCTCTCCAAATCTGGAATAATGTGATGAAGAAAGTGGAAAACATTGGACATCTGGCTTCTTTGTAGCCAAGCCTTTCTTTAGCAAGCTTCCATTATTCTTTATCTCAATAGATTCTACTGCATCTACCTCCCGTTAGGAGGCTGCCGGTTCCATGCCAAAGCTGCAGCTTTTGCCAGAATCCCATCTCAGGAGCAGAGATAGCTACACAAGATACTTCTGTTCAGTATTTGGAAATCACAAAGGTCATCTGCTCATGTCTAACTCAGCAATGCGCTGACTTGGGTCAGATATGGCTGGAGAGGTAACATTACAGTAACTGCTGCAGCATTCCTGTAACCATAGAATAACTGTTGGAACAAAGATATGAAATAATACACAGTACTGTGTTGTAAATGGGAAGGATTGAAGACTGTGGTTGCTAGTGTAAAAGTATGCTTCTCTAATCATTCAAAGATCTTTTGTGTTTTTGTGTTAAAATAATATGTTTCTGTTGTTTCATTGCAACGGGTTCTCTGTTTGGGAGGAAACAACACCTGAGCTTTTAGTGTTAAACTTTACAGCACTTGCTTCTAGGATCTCTCAGTTCCCATCTTTTCATTCTCCCTGAGAATTAGAGCTGCCTCTGTGTCCCATGTCAAAGGAAGGACTGTAACCAAGCGTCCTTTAATTACATTTTTATGTTTCTGCCAGAGCAGTCACACACTTCTTGAGCTGCATGTTTCCACCATCTCTCTTCATCAGCTGTGCTTGCTTTCATCCAAGAAATGTGAAGCAGCTTTTGGCCTTGATATTTTTATGCTCTTGTTTTTTTTTCCTACCGAATTTTTAGCATTTCTGGTATAAAAGATCTAAAATGCAAAACTGCAGGAAGACTTGCAGTCATCTTAGCATACGCACAGCACTGTGAAAGGAGCTGTGTGAGCAGACACTGGTTTTCCTTTTAGAAACACTGTGTGTTATGAGGGAAAGGGTAAGCCAAACTGTGTGCTTTTGGAACAATCCTCATGAGTAAGCGTAGATGGAATAAAATCTGTTCGCTTCGTAGAAACTTAGAAATAGTTTTTAAGAAGCACTCCAGGCGAGGAGATGCTTGACCATCTCTGTGCTGTTTCCCATATTGCAAATATTCGCGTCCCCATTTGAAATGTGGATTTCTCGTAGGTACGTATGTGGCAAAATGAGCCATATGGGCCTTTTTTGGTAATCTCTTTGCTGCCTGTGGTAGTGCAGTTGGTGGGCCTGGAGCATGCTCAGCGTCGGTACCTTGGCTTAGAACCATCCACTACATTTGAGGAAGGAGCCTTTGCTCATTTGATTTCCTTATCACTGTGTCAGCTGTGCCTTTACTTTAAACCTTCGAATTAAATAGTAGTTTATGCTGGCTTTTTATTTTAGTTCATGCATTTTAAACCCAGAACTCAGATAA